TGTTGACCTTGATGATTCTTATATTGAGAAATAAAGCTTATATTTTTAATTTTTATCTTCTAATTCCATTTTTCCATGAACTTTTTGAAGTCCCCTTGTATAAATCAGTGTACTGAGTTTTGAGAAATACCCAAATGTGTATGTGGACTCTTTTTTTTTTTTTTTTTTTTTTTGAAACAGGGTCTCACTCTGTCACCTAGACTGGAGTGTAATGGCACAATCATGGCTCAATGCAGCCTCAACCTCCCAGGCTGAAGTGATCCTCCCACCTCAGCCATAGCTGAGACTACAGGTGTGCGCCACCACACCTGGCTAATTTTTGTATATTTTGTAGAGACAGTGAGTGTTTCACCATGTTGCCCAGGCTGGTCTCAAACTTCTGAGCAAAAGCCACCCATCTACCACAGCCTCCCAAGGGCTAGGATTACAGGCATGAGCCACCGTGCCCAGCCTATGTGGATTTTTTTTTTTTTTTTTTTTTTTTTGAGACAGAGTTTTGCTCTTTCACCCAGGCTGGAGTGAAGTGGCACAATCTCACCTCACTGCAACCTCCATCCCCCAGTTCAAGTGATTCTCCTGCCTCAGCCTCCTAAGTAGCTGGGATTACAGGTGCATGCTACACCAGGCTAATTTTTGTATTTTTGGTAGAGATGGGGTTTCTCCATTTTGACCAGGCAGGTCTAGAACTCCTGACCTCAGGTGATGCACCTGCCTTGGCCTCCCAAAGTGCTAGGATTATAGGTATGAGCCGCCATGCAGGCCATGGATTTTTTAAACTTTCTTTTTCCCCTCCAGCATCTGAGTTAATCCAGAACTATAGTGGGATCCTAGAAACTAGTCATAACACTAAATAAAAGTAAATGAAGATTTGGTAGACAGCCAGTAAAAATATTATGTGAAATAGAATGAACTGCAATTACCCAAGCAAGAGCAGAGATTACAGACGTGAGCCACTGAGCCCAGACCTATATTTCATTTACCCCTTTTCTGAGGTGTTCCTTTGCTCTCCTCCTGAGCAGACAGTTATTACACTGAAGATCAACCCACACAGCCTGATTCAAGGAGAGCTCAGTTTTTTGGAGGTGGAAAATCTTCTCAACAGGCCCTCAGGAAGGTGAAGTATGCATCCCTCTAAGGACCCTTCTGCTTCTTGTGACCCTAGCTGCTTGCTTTAGATACTTCCTTCCCAAGCTTTTTCATAATGGAGCTCACCAATCATTAGGCAATAAGGGGATGTACTGGGTGTTTCCTGCAGACACACAGGCTCTCTGTGCTTGAAGAAGTAGGTCTGGGAGGATTATGTCCTCCAGAGAAAAAGCGAAGGTAAGAGGTGCAGAGGGGAGTTCTCACAATGGTATCTTTTTGGTCCTTCTTGAACCTTGGTCACATAAGCCAAAAAAGGATATTCTTTTTTTTGCTCAGGCCTGATTTGGATTTCCATGAATCCTTATAGCTATTTTTGAGACAGGGTGTTGCTCTGTCACCCAGGCTGGAGTGCAGTGGCACAACCAACCACAGCTCACTGCAGCCTCTACCTCCTGGGCTCAAGCCATCCTCCCACCTCAGCCTCCCAAGTAGCTGGGACCACAGGTGTGTGCTACCACACCCAGCTAATTTTTGTATTTTCTGTAGAGACAGGGTTTTGCCATGTTGGCCAGGCTGGTTTCGAACTCCAGTGCTCAAGTGACCCACCCACCTTAGCCTCCCAAAGTACTGGGATTACAGGCAAGACCAACAGCTCCCCGGCAGATTTTTTAAACTTGTATATTTCTCAGTCAGGTGCCGTGGCTCACATATGTAATACCAGCGCTTTCGGGGGCTGAGGCAGGAGGATGGCTTAATCCTAGAAGACTGAGACCAGCCTGGGCAACACAGTGAGACACCATCTCTACAAAGAATAGAAAAAAAATTAAGTAGGTGTGGTGGCGCATGCCTGTGGTCCCAGCTACTTGGGTCCCAGGCGGAGGGAGGAGGATCGCGTGAGCCTGGAAGGCTGAGGCTGCAATGAGCAGTGGCTGTCACTGCACTCCATCTAGCCTAGGCAATAGGGCAATATCTTGTCTCAAAAAAATAAAAGTAAAAATAAAAAATAAATTGTGCATTTCTAAAAACTTGTGTTTAAACCTCATAATTTCTCCTCAAACAAGTAGCTTATATAAAATCATTCATAAAATTACATGAGGATGCTAAAGGAATACTTTTGAATGATGAAAATTTTGTACATATTAAAATTTATTTTCTATGTATACCCAATTTTTTGAGTATTAGATTTACTTATAAATTCACCAGTGTTATCATTATACAATTGGCTGAAATGAAGTTGCAATACAGTGATTCTAGCTTCTCATATTCAAGTCGAATGATTACAAAAGTTTATTTTCTGTATCTAATCAGAATTAAATATTTTAGATAGAATCTTACACTTTATTAGATAATAAAATATAATTGAATATCTGCTTAAGTAACAAAACAGTTAAGAAATTGTTTGGGTTATAATTAAAGGAGCATAAGTGTAAAATGTGTAGAAAGATAAATATTTTCCAAATAAAATTCTAACAAAAGGCTAAACATTCTCAAATATTTTACATGCATAAAGAATAAATTATTTCTGGTTAACATGTTTTTGCTTTAGTGCCCCCCCCAAAAAAAAACCCCACAACCAATTTGATAAACTTATGTTAAAATCAAAGTTTTCTAGACCTGAATTCTATTATACCATCTCTTTGTTTAGAATTTTGCAAAATTCTTAGAAGATTGCATGGTAGGGTGGGGGAGGATAAATGCTTGCCAATACTAACATGGTTAATTAACAGACAGGCTCAAGAGGAGGAGGCTGGGAAAGAAGAGGGAAGATTATGTCACTCAGCACAGCTACAAAGGGAAGGAAAAGCGGCGAGGAAGCAGAGACAAAGGCAATCTGGCACACAGAGGCACGTTTGCTGGGGCTCAGGGTTTCTGTGTTTCAAGTGTTCAGAGATGAATTCCAGCAAGACTTCTGGTTTGAGTCAAGCCTTTCAACCGAGGTGCTTGGCATACTTAACGGAAAAAGCGAGTACATTCAGATTTAGTTTTGCTAGATATTAAGCTAGAACACTGGTTGACAGTAAAACCACTACAGAAACGAAAAGTCGTGTTTCCAGTAAAGAACCGTACACACAAGCAGGTTTTGCTTATTAACATAGCAGGAGAGCATGGAAATTGGAGTTCAGTCGCTTTAGAAAAGATAAAGGACAGGGGAGGGGAAGGGAGGGGAGGGAAGAGAAGCAGGAATGCAGAGAAGCCCTCCAAGAACGACGAGTGATTCGTGCATGAGAAGGAAATACAGACATTCTGTCCACGTGAGGTTCTGCTTCAGGCATTGAAGGCACCACGTTCCCTCCCCTGGCACCTGGAGGGATGTGTGTTCAGGATCTCACTATGGTTGATTTCCCCATGTGCTAGACATACATTGCTAGCCAGAAGTTTTGCCAGGCGTCTTCCCCTTTCGTAGTGCTAATGCCCAATTTCCTAAAGTAATCTGAATCCGTATAAGCCTGGGTAACTCAGAATGTTTTATTTATTTATTTATTTATTTAGAGGCGGAGTCTCGCTCTATCGCCCAGGCATATCACGTTTGGGCGCGAGTCTCGCTGCAACGAGAGCTCACTGCAACTTCTGTCTCTGGGGTTGATGCTGTTTTCCTGCCTCTTCCTCCCAAGTAGGCTGGGATTACAGGTGCGTGCCACCACACCTGGCTGATTTTTGTATTTTTGGTGGAGGCAGGGTTTCGCCATGTTGGCCAGGCTGGTCTCCGACTCCTGACCTCAGGTGGTCTGCCACCTTGGCCCTCAAAGTGCTGGAATTACAGGCATGAGGCACTGCACCCAGCCTCAGGAAGTTTGAGTACTACTTCTAGTCTGCTCACAGATGCTTGAGCCAGAAGTAGGAAGGGAACACTTGTATTTTGGGCTCAAATGCTTTTCAAATGGAATACATCTGACTAAATAAAGTGAACACGGTCCTCAACCCTCCTCACTCCAGATATGCATGCAATCCACACCATCAAAAGAAGAGTTCAATTCCCAAGGCCAAAAAGAGGCTCTGCTGCACTGCCAAGAACTCTACAGCAAAATCGAACACTCAAATGAAGTGCCAGCATGATGCAGCCCGCTATCACCAGGAAGAATATGTGAGAAAACTTTTAGCAGATGCAAAAATGTCACCCCACCATGTTATTTTAAAAATATTTTTTCTGGATACAAGGACGCTTCACTGTTTTTAACCTACACAAGGTTAGTGTTTACCTTGAAACATAATTGCATATGGCCCTTTTCCTCTTGGATGTGTGACTTGACAAGGGTGTCTGTGCTCCATGGCCCTTCTCCAAGCTCTAAGCCGTTATACTGACATGAAGCTGGTCCGAATGTGGTGGGATGCCACTCACCTTGGCCTCTGATAATGAGGGCGACTGCTAAGTGTGCAGTCTCTTCTGGGGACTTTCCTCTGAAAGGGGGACAATATATTGATAAAATGCTTTATTAATCAGTTAAGATAATTTTTAATCTACTTGAAAAAGATTGAACTATAATATTTCACTTTGAAACTGCTATTGCTCATGCAAAAATACTTGACTCTCACATTATATATAGAGCTCAGAATCTTTGGACTGCACAAACATTCTCTAAAAGGGCAATGACTTAATTTTCCAAAAGTTAGAAATGACACCCAAAGGACAAAAGGTTAACTATTTTTTTTTAAATCAATGTGGTTGGAACATTAACAATGAGTAACGTATTCACCAATCTGATCAGGAAATCTTCCTGTGACTCCTCCACTGTACCAGACTATGTGCATATGTATGTAGAGAAAGGCAGAAAAATTCTGTTAATGTCATTGTCTCTAAAATGCTTATTCTTGCCCATGTGCCAGTAAATTAAATGAGACTGTGCTTCTCCAGAATAAGCCCAGTTGTATCTAGAATTTACTTGTTTTCGGTGTGAAGGTATAAGAATGTTTTTAACAACAGAATAACTCAATCTAGATTAGGATGCTGTGTGGCATGACCATCTCGAATTTTGAAAGCCTGAGCTGGTTGTGGGCAAGGGGATGCTCATTAATGACATAAATTTCATTTATGAAATATGTATCCATCATCTAGGTATCTTACACATGGAGAGCTGAGTGTCTCCCTCGTATAAAAAGTAACTGAAGACCAGAAGGAAGTGGACTTTGTCCTGCAAACTGAAGCAGAGTTCCATGCGAAGAATCAGCAGGTTTTCTAGGTAGGTAATGCCGCCAGTGGAGTATTATTACAGTTCTCAAATCACGAGGGAAACAGATGGAGAAGAGGGAGGGAGGAGGGAAAATCTTGCATTCTAAGAGGCAAAAGAGTCCCCATTACAATTGCAATGCTTCATTAGACAGCTGATTTTTCTGGCTGGAAGGCACATTAAAAATAACCCTAACAATAACTTACCAAGACAATGGAAATCAAAAGAAAAGAAGGTAGAGGCACAGCTGTCTTATTAACACAACAACCAACCACCGCTGCAACAATACTCTGGTACAGGGACTAGCTCGTGTTAAAGACCGGGTATTTAGGTGAAGAGGATCTGGTGCTCTTGGTTTAGCTTCAGTGATTTTCCCGTACTGATTAAAGCCATTGTGCCCTGAACATGCAGACCGCAAATCCTCTATGTGCCAGAGATTTCAGCTGTAGAGAATTACACCAATGTCTGCTGTTGGAGTGCACCACAGGCGAGACCAGCCTCCCTGGTCCAGCTGAGTGAGGTCTTCCATGCGCTGTCCGCCGCTAAGTCAGAACGTCGCCTAAGCAGACAGGAGGAAAGGAATGACTATGGAATAGCTGACTTCTTTATCCTGGTTATGGGTCCATAATTCGCATAAAAATAAATAATATGCAGTAAGTCAAAATCCGGGTTCAAATTTGTGACAAGAAAACAAAAGGACAACAATCTGGGATTCTTAAGGTAAAACAGAAAGCTCTTTAAATAGACACTTTATTAGATCCACAGGCGATAAAATCCCAGAGCCACTGTTAGGCACGTAAAGATAGACCCTGTAAGAAAAAAACAATTCAAGAATACTATTAGTTCTATTAAGAGCTACTTGAGGGAATATCTTTTTATTAAGAAAACACACACGGCCAGGTGCAATGGCTTACGCCTGTAATCCCAGCACTTTGGAAGGCTAAGGTAGGCAGATCACTTGAGGTCAGGAGTTCATGAGCAGCCTGGCAAACATGGTAAAACCCCATCTCTACTAAAAATACAAAAATCAGGTGGGCGTGGTGGGGGGACACCTGTAATCCCAGCTACTTGGGAGGCTGAGGCAGGAGAATCGCTTGAAACCAGAAGGTGGAGGTTTCAGTGAGCCAAGATTGCATCACTGCGCTGCAGCCTGGGCTACAAGAGCAAAACTCTGTCTCAAAAAACAAAAAAACAAGGTTGGGTGCAGTGGCTCACGCCTGTAATCCCAACACTTTGGGAGGCCAAGGAGGATCACCTGAGGTCGGGAGTTGGAGACCAGCCTGAACAACAGGGAGAAACCCCGTCTCTACTAAAAATACAAAATTAGCCAGGCGTGGTGGTGCATGTCTGTAATCCCAGCTACTTGGGAGGCTGAAGCAGGAGAATCGCTTGAACCCAGGAGGCGGCGGTTGTGGTGAGCCGAGGTCTCACCATTGCACTCCAGCCTGGGCAACAAGAGGGAAACTCCATCTCAAAAACAAACAAACAAACAAAAATTCCCAAATAACTATAGTTCAATTATAGTATCTTATCACATTTCTGATTCTATCAATTACGAAAGTACACCATTACTTTACTAATAAGAAAGAAAAAATGCCAATTAAAGGATGATACTTCATCTACTGGAAATTATAAAATGCCTTCCAATTTGAGAGATATTAAAGTATTTCGAAAACTGTTGGAATCAATTCAGTATCTGTCAACTTATTTTATAAACTTATTTTCTTTCCAGGTTGATTTAAATAGATATAAAATAGCTTACCTGCTAAATATTTAATATTATCAAGCTTGTGTGACTCAAGCATGGTTTTGAGGCCAGCAACCTCAGTTTCTATCTTCCTATCTGTCTGGGTGAGGGCCCGATCTTGCTGGGCATGCTTTTAAAACAAAGAGAGTCACAGCGTTAGACCACAGCACGTCCCCTCTGCTCTCCATCCTATAGTTCCTTCCCAACAGGGTACGGTCACAGGGAAACAGGGCTAAGCCTGGGCTTTAGTCTCAGTTCTAAAATCCTCATGCTGCACTGCATTTGTCAGGACGCTTAACCTCTCTAGGCCTTTGTTTTCTTTTACTTGAAAAAAATGAAAACAGAAAACAAAACAAAACAACCAAACCAGTGGCCCTGCCTTTACCTGGGCTGTACAGAGAATCAAATGCGATCATCTATGTGAAAAAGCTTTTTGTAACTCCAGGTTGCTATACAAATGATGTGGTATTATGAAGCCAGCCTGTTCTCAGAGGCAACAGCTATGCCTCATCCTTCTAAATCCTCCTTTGTCAAAGATATATAGTAAAGTCAAAAATGTTTTCAAGAAATGGAGTCTTAGATAATCTAAAAGCAGCAGTGCTTGTCTTGAGCTATTTCTAGGCACATTTTTAAAAAGCTTTCTTTTTTCATGTTCAAATATCAAGTGCTTCATTACTATGAGGCTTGGATACCAAGGGCCAATTTGTGTCCTTCCCCAAATACAACACAATTAAACTGGATACATAATCAACCTTTTTTGAGGAAAAGGCGGTGGGTTTGACTGATGCTAGCTACGGGGTTGTGTAACTGCAGTAATGCATAAAAACCCTGGGAATGCTTCGCTAAAATTCCTAGAGCAACTAAATTGTTCCCTATGGCTACCAATTCAGGGAGAGAATAAAGAAATAATTATGCTTGGATGAGTAGAAAAGTACTCCGGAGAATCATCCCAGGATTCTAGAATTCTCTCATGAAAGACTCTTGTGGGTTTCAGAGGTCACAGGTTCCATACAGCATGGAAAAGGAGTGATGTATGCTACCAATTAAAAATATAGTAAGACTTCTCCATTCCTCACCATTCTTCAATTACTGAGATTTAAAATTTCTTAATAAAACTTCTGTTAAGAAAAACAAACTTTCCAGTAGGGCGTGGTGGCACGCACCTGTGGTCCTAGCTACTCTGGAGGCTGAGGTGAAGGATCGCTTGAGCCCAGGAGACGAAGGTTGCAGTGAACTGAGATTGCACCACTGCACTCCGGCCTGGGCAACACAGGGAGACCCCATCTCAAGAAAAAAAAAAAAAAAAGGAAACCTTCATTAAGAAAGTTTAAATCTTTTATAGGATAATTATCTTTCATTAAGATAACCAAGTATTTTTTGAAGTGTAAAAAATCCTGTGACACTCCACTTCTGCATATAAACCCAAAAGAACTGAAAGCAGGGATCCCAACAGACATCTGTGTATCCATGCCCACTGCAGCACTATTCACAAAAGCCAGTGGGTGGAAGCAACACAAGTGTCCCTTCACAGATGAATAAATAAAATGTGGCATAAAGCAAATGTGATATATACATAGAGTGGAATACTCCTCAGCCTTAAAAAGGAAAAGTCTGGTTATTGCAATAACATGGATGAACCTCTGGACATTCGTTAAGTGACATAACCCAGCCACAAAAAGGCTAACACTATGATTCTATTTATATGACGTTATGTAGAATAGTCAAATTCACAGAGAGTAGAATGGAGGTCACCAGGGGCTGGAAAAAGGAATGTATCAGGGGGACAGAGTTTCAACTTTGCAAAATAGAGTTCTGTGATAGACAGTGGTGATGGTTGTCCCAAAATGTAAATGTACTTAATACCACTAAACTGTATACTTACAAATGGTTAAAATGATCATTTTTATGTTGTATATATTTTAGAACAATGTAAAAAAATCCCATGACAGTTTTAAACCTGCATATAACTTCCTGTTATCATTATAAACAACCATGCACAGGATGAAGCAAAGATGAGTGCAATGACAGAGAAAAAGCAAAGTCTCGTTTCTTACCAATGCCACTATTTCTGTTCTCAATTCCAGCAGCTTCTTTTCGTTCAATGAATACTGAAATAAACATGGAACACAGGTCAGATTCTGATCTACTCCCTTCTCTTCTCCTTCTCTGATGCCTTAAATATTCTGGTCTCAGTACCTCCTAGAATATGTAACACCAGAAAGTCACCTCTGGGATGAAGCAGCCTGCCTGCTTCTTTATACCTGTTATTTGACCTTTCTTTTGTTTTTTTATAGAGATGGGGTTTTGCCATGTTGCCCAGGCTGGTCTCAAACTCCTGAGCTCGAGCAATCTGCCGACCTTGGCCTCCCAAGGTGCTGGGATTACAGGCATGATCCATGGTGCTGGCTAAAGTTTCTTATTTACACTTACTCATTCCTCCAATATCTGGATTTCCTTAGTCACCTGTCGCTTCTCCCTGCTCTCTTCCTCTTTTCATATCTTTGCTGTGATGTCTTTAGGTCCCTCCCACTATTGTAGCAGCACTCCCTGGGGACCAATTTAGATGGATGCTGAGTCATATGCTTTTTGGTTTTGAGAGGGTTGAAAATGGAGACTCAATTCAATTTAGGAGCTATCCCAACATAACTAGCAGCAAAACAGATCACTACTTGAGGCTTAACAAAAGATAGGAAAGATATGAAGTTGGGGAAAAAATAGCTGCAAGGATTATTATTCTACGACAAAGACATTGTGTTGTGATTATAAAACACAAAATAAATACATAAATATACTAACTCTTCACATGTTGGTTTTTTGTTTAAGATGGAATCTCACTATATTTCCCAGGCTGGAGGGTAGTGGTGTGATCTCAGATCCCTGCAACCTCCACCTCCCAAGTTCAAGCAATTCTCCTGTCTTAGCCTCCTGCACATGTTGGTTTTAGTAACAGTTAAAAAACCCACTTGGGCGTAGTCATAATCCAGTGTTACTAAAAGAGCCAATTCTACCCAGAGTCAAAGTGTTAATAACCTTTGGTTATTAATGTCAGTGAAAAGATTTAGGGCAGTTTTGTGGACAATAAGATTGAAATCAGACTTATTTCCTTAGTAGTGGGTAACAGGATTTAACTGAGCAAATGACAATCTATAATTTAAATGAAGACTTTTAAGATCTACATTAGCCTTGTTATAGAGAGAAAAAATGCTTTGAAGAATATAGAAACTTTATAGCTATAAAATGTTCCCCTGGGACTACTGGGAGATAAAGTATTCAAAAAGCACTGCTTGGAAGTGAAAAAAAGAAAGAAAGAAAGAAAAGAAAAGCAAAAACAAAAAACCCCAAAACCCTTGGCCAAGCGTAGGTTGTAAGACCAACAACGCTCTTTAAACATCAGGCTTTCAGACCAGGAGAGCGCTCTGCACCAAAGCACCACTAGAGGGCGGCATGGAACAAGATTTTGTGCACCACCAAAACTCAGTCTTCATTAACTCAACATTGACTCACCCACAAAAGAAAAGCCTAAATCTTGACACTGGCATGATTTTAAAAATAACATCTATGTAGCTCCATATCCCCATGGCCCAAAAGTTTATATGCCATACTGCTTTTGGAACTGGGTGTAAATATCACAGTTAATTTTTAATTTAACATTTTAACTTTACCAAAAGAATGAGAGCCAAACAACTCATCTTCACCAATGCATGTTACAAACACACTAGCTATATAATTTACTACTACTCTGTGCTTCAGAGTAATCTAAGTTTATGATTACCAAGAAAAACTTCCCAGCTAGGTTACTAAATCATATAAATTCACTGGCTTGATGGGAGCTAAGCTATGAGGACGCAAAGGCGTAAGGATGGTACAGTGGACTTTGAGGACTTGGGGGGAAGGGTGGGAGGCAGATGAAGAACAAATGATTACATATTGGGTACCCTGTATGCTGCTAGGGTGATGGGTGCACCAAAATCTCAGAAACCACCACTAAAGAACTTATTCATGTAACCAAATACCACCTGTTTCCCAAAAACCTATTGAAATTAAAATAATAATAATGAAACACTAAAAAGAGACTATAAGAACAATTCATAGTCACAGTTGCTGTTCAAATATACCACGAAGACACTTTTATATCATGTCAAAAAAGTTACTGTCATGATGCATAGGATTTAATTCAAATTCTGTGCACTGTTGCTTTCTGAAGATTAAGGTCAATATAAGTCATTCCAGATAAAATCATAACAGGTAAATTATATTTATCTGCATATTTAACTATTAAGTTCAAGTAAAATAAAATCAGTTAAGTATTCTGAGTGCTACATTATCAAATTTGCAAAATATTATAAGCTTTACTTTTCTTATTTTATGAGAACACCGAATGGATCCACTCTACATATCCAATAACTGAAAAATGTGAGAATTTGAAGAATAAAATTTCATCTTTTCTTTTTTTTTTTTTTTTTTTGAGACAGAGTCTCTCTCTGTCACCCAGGCTGGAGTGCAGTGGCGTGATTTTGGCTCACTGCAATCTCTGCCTCATGGGTTCAAGCGATTCTCCTGCCTCAGGCTCCTGAGTAGCTGGGACAACAGGTGCCTGCCACCATGCCCCGCTAATTTTTGTATTTTTAGTAGGGACAGGGTTTCACCACGTTGGCCAGGCTGGCCGTGAACTTCTGCCCTCAAATGATCCACCCACCTTGGTCTCCCAAAGTGCTGGGATTACAGGCTTGAGTCACCTCACCTGGCAGAAATTTTATCTTTTTGAATGCTTTGGTTTAAAAACTAAAACTATGAAATTTTCTGGAAAATTTTTGTTTTCTAGATGATGTCATTGACTTAAAATGAGTAAAATTTAAATATTACATCATTGAAAAATGTACGTATCAGCCTAGTTATGTTATTAAAATGACTCCATATAAAATAAAAAAATTTACTGCCTTTAATCTACATTCATGCCCTGTATTTCCTGATGTCTTTGATGTATTTTTTCCCAGCCTGGTTAGCTACAGTCATCTCCCTACATCAAGTGAATTCAGTTCTACCTGAGTACACAACCCATAAGGACAGAAGTAACCAAAAGAGTTTCTCCTCTTCCAAACACCAGTCACGTGCTGTAGTCATTAACTATTTAAGTAATACTAGGTGATTTAATTGTTATGGGTGGAGACTGTTGTATGACTAGAAAGACAGGTAACACGGACATAATAATTGTTTTGTATAATGAAGCTCAGATTAACTCTTGAAATCCAGTGGCAGTTCTGAAACACAAGAAGTTTACTTTTTTGAGTTTTAATATTCGTGTCATTTATCATTAGAGCACATTTCAGTTAAAAGCAAATTGTGAAAAATGAGAAGACAACGAACAGTTGTGAGTACTCAGCTTCTGCATGTGTTTTCAGTTTTATGTTCGTGCAAGATGCTCTCTCTGCCCTATCTCATTATGCTAAGAATAAAAAAGGCATCTGATATTACCAAATCCAAATGAAGTCTGAGCAAGAAGACAGCTGAATATTCAGACAGGATTAAAAATCACTAGAGGCACCTGGCACATATCTTTATTAAAACATACAACTTGTGGGCTGGGCACATGGCTCACTCTAGCAATCCCAGCACTTCGAAAGGCGAAAGTCAGCAGATCACCTGAGGTCAGGAGTTCGAGACCAGCCTGGCCAACATGGTGAAACCCCATCTCTACGAATACAAAAATTAGCTGGGCGTGTTGGCGGGCACCTGTAATCCCAGCTACTCAGGAGGCTAAGGCAGGAGAATCGCTTGAATCCAGGAGGTAGAAGTTGCAATGAGCCAAGACTGCACCACTGCACTCCAGTCTGGGCTACAGAATGAGACTCCATCTCAAAACAAAACAAAACAAAAACACAAAAGCCCCCACAACTTTTCACTGTATTTAAAAGACAACATAGAAATGTTTTAATCTTGAATTCCAGTGTATAATTTAATATTATTTAATATTAATGACATTATTATTAAAGTCTGAGATAACTTAACTCTTGCAAGATCAAGGCCTATGAGGATTTCAGTGAGTATTAAATAGATCAAGATTACATTTGATTTCTTCAGTAATGTCTATGTAAATATACCTAGTATTTTTTTTTTTGAGATGGAGTTTCGCTCTTGTTACCCAGGCTGGAGTGCAATGGCGCGATCTCGGCTCACCGCAACCTCCGTCTCCTGGGTTCAGGCAATTCTCCTGCCTCAGCCTCCTGAGTAGCTGGGATTACAGGCACACGCCACCATGCCCAGCTAATGTTTTGTATTTTTAGTAGAGATGGGGTTTCACCATGTTGACCAGGATGGTCTCGATCTCTTGACCTCGTGATCCACCCACCTCGGCCTCCCAAAGTGCTGGGATTACAGGCTTGAGCCACCGCACCCGGCCTTAATGTCACTTTTGAAAGCATCAAATTTAAATCTTAATCCAAAATTATTATAACAGAGAAAATACAGCCTAACACTGATAAACAGAAAAATATTTAACAGTACCTGTGACATGTATTTATACTTAGGTTTAACCAGGCATTCCATTCTGAAAAGAAATTTAGTAAAAGAACGTACCAATTCTTTTACTCTGCTCTTTTCTAGGTTGAAGTCTAATTTGGTATCTGTTCGGACTTTGATCACTTCATCCTAAAAGGTAGGCAAACGACAAAGAAGGAGAAATCCAAAGTAAGAAATCCAAAGCCTCTGAGGGTGTGATGCCGGGACCACTGCCCACACTGCTGCTATCCTAGGGGAGGCAGCCCAGGGAAGGACAGAGCCAGGGGCTTCTAGAGAAATGGACCTAGGCCTACTGGCGTCAGGGAACTCTGCAAAGCCACACCTGGAGGCAGCCTGTCCCAGAACTTCCCAGTTACACAAATAAGCCCCTTATATGCTTATGCCAGTCTAGAGTGGGTTGTTGCTGCTTTTTTTGAGACAGAGTCTCACTCTGTCACCCAGGCTGGAGTGCAATTGTGTGATCTCAGCTCACTGCAACTTCCGCCTCTCAGGTTCAAGCAATTCTCCCGCCTCAGCCTCTCGAGTAGCTGGAATTACAGGCACATGCCACCATGCCCAGCTAATTTTTAATGCCCGACCTGTTGCTGCTTTTAACCTCAAGACTCCTCATATAACCTCTGAATGGAACTCATGAATAAAGCTGATCTTAAACAACTTTGGAAAGCAAAGATGGCCTCAAAGCAGCAAAATATTAAAATCTGGTTTACAAAGAGCCTTTTCTCTGATATGCATCAAAGCCTGTTTTTAACATCCATGTTTTTTGTATTTAAAAAACACCAAATAGCTGGCACAGTAAGCATTTAAAAATCATGCGTGATTCTTTAAAGACAGTCTAAGAGAATTTAAGGATTCCTTCCATGTGGCTACTTTAGAAAATCTTTGACTTAAAATGACTTAATTCTGCCGGGTGCAGTGGCTTCCGCCTGTAATCCCAGCACTTTGGGAGCTGAGGTGGGTGGATCACCTGAGGTCAGTTCAAGACCAGCCTGGCCAACATAGTGAAACCCTATCTCTACTAAAAATGCAAAAATTAGTCAGGCGTGGTGGTGGGTGCCTGTAATCCTAGTTACTTGGAAGGCTGAGGCAGGAGAACTGCTTGAACCTGGGAGGTGGAGGTTGCAGTGAGCCAAGATCGTGCCATTGCACTCCAGCCCTGGAAAGAGCGAGACTCCATCTCAAAAAAAAAAAAAAAAAAAAAAAAAAAAGACTTAATTCCTCCTAGAATACAGTTTTCTTAACGAATATAGTTATAGACAACAATAATTCATTCATTGACTGTGTTCTTAATCTTTCACTGTGCACTTTTGAGGCATATTACACAAACATTTCACATAATTAAGTTTTTAAAAACATTTCTCATATTTATTAATAAGTTTATATAATTACAAACAAGCCAACAGGAAAGTGAAATCTTACCATTACTTGTTGTTTTAACTGATGTAGTTCGAGTTTTATTTTCTACAAATACATTAAAAAAAGAAGTCTTTAGAAAGTTAGAACAGCATAAAATACAGTAATCAACAAACATTACAACAGGTATTTATGCACAAGTTCTTCAAGTTTTTCCTTCATTCAGAACACTGTACTGACTGCAGAATGGCATTACAACACATATATCTTGAAATCAGTTTTAATTCATCTTGAAGGCTGCATAAAGTTATCACGGTTGTATTTGGCATACACATTTGCCTTCAGTGACCCTGCTTTATTTAGTACCTCCTTCAGTTTATCTTTCAACTAATTCTGCCCTCATATAACTGATTTCAAGGACAACCTAGAGAGTTTGAAACTTTACCACTTTACTTTTTGCTAGAAAGTTTCTTAGGAGGCTAGGGTCAACAGGCAATAAATAGCCTTCCCCGTGGGACTTTAAATAGGACTGAAAATAAAAGGAAGATGCATAGAAAGCACCTATTTAAATGCTCGTCCCTTATGCTCTATGTAAAGAAACAAGAGATATTTTGCAGCAGCAATTATTCAAAATAACAAAAAACTGGAAACAATTCTAATATACATTACAATAGAATGATGGGGCATATTCACATAAGACTATAGACAATGAAAAAAATGATCTCTTGCTACAAGACACACAGCATGATTCCATCAAATGGTTCGAGGACAGGCGAAACTAGTCAGTGGTGTTATCAGCCAGGACAGCATTTCCTCTGCGGTGGGAGCAACCGAGAGGCATTAGAAGGACTTCTGCGACACCGGTCAAGTTTCCCTGCTTGATTTGATCAGGCGTGTACATTTGATGAAAATTCACTGAGATGTACACTTATGTGTGCTCTTTTGTGTGTGTATATTTCATCTCAATGTCTTAATATAATGAATCATCTAAGCGTGAGAGGCTCTGTTTTACCTCATTTTCGGCTCTGAGGGCTGAAAATTCACTCTTCTCCAAAATAATCATATCCTTTTTTACATTCGCAATCTGAGACATTATTTGCTGAAGAGTGATCTCCTAGGAAAAGAAAAACAAAACACATAATCTAGTCTACCCTAAAAAGTCCACATCTAACGTCTCAATGTGCTATCTTCTTATTGAGAAACCAGGAGAATGCGGACAAAATAAGAAGTTGAGCAAGGTCATTTTCTATTCCAAAACGGGAAAAGGAAAAGAAGAAAAGCACATTATCTTGCCAGGCGAGGTGGCTCACACCTGTAATTCCAATACCTTGGGGGGCCAAGGCGGGTGGATCGCTTGAGCCCAGGAGTTCAAGACCAGCCTGAGCAACATCATGAAACCCTATCTCTACAAAAAATACAAAAATTAGCCAGCTGTGGTAGTGCACACCTGTAGTCCCAGCTAACTGGGATGCTGAGGTGGGAGGATTGCTTGGACCCAGGAGATCAAGGCTGCAGCGAGCTGAGATTGCACCACTGCACTACAGCCTGGGCAACAGTGTGAGATCTTGTCTCAAAAAACCCTCCAAAAGACCACATATCTGGTTATCATTACCAAGTGAATCACAGCTAAAAGGGTAATGGTCTGACGCCTCGAGAACATGATGCTATAATATTATAATTCAGGCACGTCTCCATTTATTAGTTTCACTGAAATGATTTTTAACTGAGGTTTCAAGCCTAATGGTTCTAAAATTGTTGACTAAATAGCTCTAATATTTTTTTATGCCACTGTAATCTTTTGCCTCTTAATCATGGTAAAAGTTACTATATACTTTCCAACTATTATCCAAAATATTACATTAAAACATTACTACAAATAATACCCCATCTTCGCCGTCCTAACTTGCTAACCCACCCAGCGAGGCTAACCTGCTGCATCTTGGTGACCATATCTTTGTAGACGATGTCCATGTTGGCCTCCAGGATCTTGACCAATGCAGACACAATGATTTCTGCTTGTTGAGTAGCAAACCCTAAGCAAGCACACAAACAAAAAAATCATGCTTAGAGCTACAAAAGCCCACAGCAAATGCACACATTCATGTGAATGTCCGGATCTGGGAGCAGGGGTATGGCACAGTGTGGTAGGAGGTGGAGAGGAGGGCAGAGCCACAGACTACGACGTGTCCGTCACTCAGAGCAAGCACAAAACATCCAAGCTGGCTTCCCCAGGTACCAGTGGCTTTGCTGACTGATGATCTCTAATGTCCTTCCTAGCTATCAAAAGTCATGTTTTCAGGGACTGTTTAATGACACAGACAATATAGGCAAGTCAATGTCAAGTGAAAAAAGGCAAGACTCAGAATTACTGCTTTTATAATTCAACAAAGATTCATAGTAATTTTTATTTTCTTCTTTATGTTTTCTCTCAATTATGTAGATTTTCTATGGCGGACAATATCTCTTTAATTTTAGAATGTGTATGTTATTAAAAAATAATTGCCTTAAATAGGAAAGCTCAGCTGTTTTACGTCCAGCATAAGGCAGTCAAATCATTGACTATATAAATAGTAATATAGCTGTTGGCTAATTTACTTAAAAGACAAAATCAAGGCGAGGCACGGTGGCTCACACCTGTAAATTCTAGCACTTTGGGAGGCTGAGGCAGGAGGATCATGAGGTCAGGAGTTTGAGACCAGCCTGACCAACATGGAGAAACCCCATCTCTTTTTTTTTTTTTTTTTTGGGATGGAGTTTCGCTCTCGTTACCCAGGCTGGAGTGCAATGGCGCGATCTCGGCTCACCACAACCTCCGCCTCCTGGGTTCAGGCAATTCTCCTGCCCTGCCTCCTGAGTAGCTGGGATTACAGGCATGCGCCACCATGCCCAGCTAATTTTTTGTATTTTTAGTAGAGACGGGGTTTCACCGTGTTGACCAGGATGGTCTCGATCTCTTGACCTTGTGATCCACCCGCCTCGGCCTCCCAAAGTGCTGGGATTACAGGCTTGAGCCACCGCGCCCGGCCCGAGAAACCCCATCTCTACTAAAAATACAAAATTTTGGCTCACGCCTGTAATCCCAGCACTTTGGGAGGCCGAGGCGGGTGGATCACGAGGTCAACAGATCGAGACCATCCTGGTCAACACGGTGAAACCCCGTCTCTACTAAAACTACAAAAAATTAGCTGGGCATGGTGGCGCGTGCCTGTAATCCCAGCTACTCAGGAGGCTGAGGCAGGAGAATTGCCTGAACCCAGGAGGCAGAGGTTGCGGTGAGCCGAGATCGCGCCATTGCACTCTAGCCTGGGTAACGAGAGTGAAACTCCGTCTCAAAATAAATAAATAAATAAATAAATAAATAAATAAATACAAAATTAGCCAGGCATGGTGGCGCATGCCTGTAATCCCAGCTACTCAGAAGGCTGGGGCAAGAGAATCACTTGATCCCGAGAGGTGGAGGTTGCGGTGAGCCAAGATTGTGCCATCCAGCCTGGGCAACAAGCGTGAAACTCTGTCTCAAAAACAACAAAACGAAACAAAAGACAAAATCAGTTCTTGCATTTTTCCTCCTCAATTCTCTTAAGTAACCAGTCTGGGGGACCCAAAGTGGAAAAAATATGTCCTTTGATAGTCAATAAATGATACTGAACTGAATGACAGAGATTCAATGCAGTACTTGGTACTGTCTTTAAAAATGTTGGGTAACAACTCATATTTCACATAAATTTTTTTTTTTTTTTTTTGGAGACAGAGTCTTGCACTGTCGCCCAGGCTATAGTGCAGCGGTGCGATCTCGGCTCACTGCAATCTCCGCCTCTGAGGTTCAAGTAATTCTCCTGCCTCAATCTCCCAAGTAGCTGGGACTGCAGGCATGTACCACCACATCCAGTTAATTTTTTTGTATTTTTAGTACAGATAGGGTTTCACCACGTTAGCCAGGATGGTCTTAATATCCTGACCTCATGATCCACCTGCCTTGTCCTCCCGAAGTGCTGGGATTACAAGTGTGAGCCACCGCGCCTGGCCGTATTTTACATAAATTTTAATTAAATGCTTAAAACTGAGTGCCTGGAAAATGTTCTATTAAATACTTCCAGCTATAAGAATTTCAGAAGAATCTATTGATTCCTGTAATGAATTGTGTATTTTTTGGAATAAACTTAATTAATGGAATCTGTTTGGATGAGACAAAGCATGGGACTATAATTAACAACAACAACAAAAAAAAACCAAAGACACAGATTTAAAGGAGAAGGAAAAAACCTCCAAAGACCTATTCCTGTCACTTTAATCAAAAGCCTTTAATTTTCCAACATGTGTCATGCACATGTCTAGAAAAAAAAAAGAAAAGGCTACCCACCAAAACGTTAACACTGCTTAGCTCTGAATCTGTTTTGTTTCTTCTCGTGTCTTCCTAATTTTCAAAAACTCAATCTAAACTTCTGTAAATTTCAAAACTTTATTAAGAAGAGTTCAATGGCTGGGTATGGTGGCTCATACCTCCTAATACTTTGGGAGGCCAAGGTGGGAGGATCTTTGAACCCAGGAGCTCAAAACCAGCATGGGCAACATAGTGAGACCTCATCTCTATTTTAACCTAAATAAAAATTTTTTAAAACTTTTAATTAAAAAAAAAAAAAGGCCGGGCGCAGTGGCTCAAGCCTGTAATCCCAGCACTTTGGGAGGCCGAGGCGGGTGGATCACGAGGTCAACAGATCGAGACCATCCTGGTTAACATGGTGAAACCCCGTCTCTACTAAAAATACAAAAAATTAGCTGGGCATGGTGACACGTGCCTGTAATCCCAGCTACTCAGGAGGCTGAGGCAGGAGAATTGCCTGAACCCAGGAGGCGGAGGTTGCGGTGAGCCGAGATCACGCCATTGCACTCCAGCCTGGGTAACATGAGTGAAACTCCGTCTCCAAAAAAAAAAAAAAACAAAAAACCAAAAAAAAAAAAAAAAAAAAGAGTTCATCTTTAAACATGATTAGTTTTGGTGGCCGGACACGGTGGCTCACACCTGTAATCCCAGCACTTTGGGAGGCCAAGGTGGGTGCATCACTTGTGGTGTGAGACCAGCTGGCCAACAAGGTAAAACCACGTCTCTAGTAAAAATACAGAAAAATTAGCCGGGTGTGGTGGTGCATGCCGGTAATCCCAGCTACTCAGGAGAATGAGGTGGGAGGATCGCTTGAAACCGGGAGGTGGAGGATGCAGTAGGCCAAGACTGTGCCACACTGCACTACAGCCTGGGTGAAAAAGTGAGACTGTCAGAAAGGAGAAAGGAGAATGGGTGAAAGAGTGAGACTGTCAGGAGAAAGGAGAAAAGAAGAAAGGAAGAAAGAAAATTAGGTTTGGCAATGACAAGGAAAAGAAAAAGACAGAAAGAGAACTTATGCTGATTGTAAAATAAACTCTAAAGCCATACACTTTATAACCACCTGTGGGAAGAGAAAGGGATGAGAAAAAGTGGAAGCCTGAAAACCTATGAGTTACGAGACAGAAATCAGTTTTTGCAGACATGAGGGAATAGGGCAGAACCAGGTGAGTGAGATCACAGGCACATGAGAAGTTCTGTTAATCTGAAGACATAGGGTTAATATGCCTTGAAAAGTCCTTCCTGGCCTCGACTCAGCCAGTCATCTCAGACACCCCCCCACCCATGTCGGACTGAACAGCCCCTCCATACTACAGTGCAGCCCTCACACCATGGTGTTGAAAGAAGCAAATAACCACGGGTCAAGGTTTAAAATCAAGAAAAGTAGGAAGACTTCTGCTTCTCAGGATTTTTTTTTTTGGTAGAGACAGGGTCTCACTATGTTGCACAGACTGGTCTTGATCTCCTGGGCTCAAGTGATCTTCCTGCCTCAGCCTCCCAAAGTGCTGGGATTACAGGTATGAGCTACTTCACCTGGCCTTATCATGGTAACTTTACGGGCTCCCCTCTCACTTCTACTTTTCTCTTTTAAATTCTGAACTGAAAGAAGTTTTGGTGAAAAAAACCTACTATTTGACAGGAAAAGTTGTGAAAATTATTACATAGCATATGACAGTTTTTCCAAAGTTCATTCATGCACATTATCTTATTTAATATTCAAAAAGATCTTTGGAATTCTTATTGCACTCATACTACAGATGTACAAATGGAAACTGAGAAGGAGGAAAAGCCTTCCTAAGCTTTGCTGCTAGAAGTCTGCAGAATTAGGCTTGAGCCCACAGCTGCTCTCTCCCACAAAGCGCAGAATAATTCATTCCATCACTTTGTTTTAGGCATGTAAAGCACCTCTACAGAGAGCAGCTTTTCTGATACGAACATGTACAACCAGACAAATAACTAAACAATGAAGTAAAAACACAGCCAAATTTATTTCACAAGCATAATCTACACTATTTTGAAATTCTGATATTTGAGAATGTGTCACCATATAGAGAATTAAAATTGGTGTATTTGTCTAAATGTGATTCAGTACAAGAAGGTTCCCTACATTCTGGCCGGGCGCGGTGGCTCACACCTGTAATCCCAGCACTTTGGGAGGCCGAGGCGGGTGGATCATGAGGTCAACAGATCGAGACCATCCTGGTCAACATGGTGAAACCCCGTCTCTACTAAAAATACAAAAAATTAGCTGGGCATGGTGGCGCGTGCCTGTAATTCCAGCTACTCAGGAGGCTGAGGCAGGAGAATTGCCTGAACCCAGGAGGCGGAGGTTGCGGTGAGCCAAGATCGCACCATTGCACTCCAGCCTGGGTAACAAGAGCGAAACTCCATCTCAAAAAAAAAAAAAAAGAAGCTTCCCTACATTCTAAGTGCATTTTCAATAAACACCAAATATACCAGAGCAATCTTTTATCTTAACAGCAATAAGGGAGAATGTTAGCTTGAATATTAAAAAGAAAAAAGAACAGTAAGTTGAGATTATCAAGAACTGCTACTCGGCAACATTTCAATTTCACAGGATTTTTTAAAGTACAGAAGATGCAGAGTAATAAAACGATCACTTCTGTGCTTCAGACACTGTTGTCATTGGAATCATTCCTCAGCTTTGCTGACTTGCGTCTAAATTTTTAACTGTAACACTGTACTTCCATGGTGATGTTACAGAAATACGCTTCACTTGGACAAAGAGACAATGTGTGAGAAGTCTCCATTGTATTGATGAAGCAAAAATGTCCTTAAGTAAAAAATGAGGAGATTGATCAAAAGATGACCCATAGGCCTAAAAGTCAAAGAGATATAAAAATTAGCCAGACATGGTGGTATGTGCCTGCAGTCCCAGCTACTAAGGAGGCTGAGGTGGGAGGATGGTTTGAGCCTGGGAGGTAGGTTACAGTTAGCCAAGATTGCGCCACTGTAATCCAGCCTGAGCAACAGAGACAGACCCTGTCTCCAAATAATATAAAATACAAACAAAAAATAAAAGTCAAAAGAAATAGGAGAAATTAAATGAAACCATAAGAGAAGACATAATTTATAGAGTTTTTCTAAGGCAATAAATGATGAATGAGAGGATTACCATTGTCTTCCAGTAAGCACACTAAGGCGTGAGTGTCAAAGTAGCGCTTCCTACTCCCAGAAGAGGTGAAATCTCTCCTTTTGCGCTCCAGCTGCAGACATCCAGCAGACAGGCTTAGGTCTAGGGTGGAAAAGTTAGTAATACACTTAATGCAAAACAAAAGCAACTCAGCACCCTGAGAAAGTAAGGCATATCCCAAAGCTTACCTGGTACTTTATAACAGTTTCATTGAGATATACAATTCACCCAATTTCAAGCATACAATTCAATAGGTTTTGGCACAGAATTGTGCAACCATCCAACAATCAACTTTAGAATATTTTCCTCACTCTCAAGACAAACTGTACCCCTTAGCTATCACCTCCAATTCACCCAGCCCTGCCCCACTGCCCCCAACTACACTCAGGACAAGTACTGATCTATCTGCTGTCTCTTGTTTACCTACTCTGGAGATTTCATAGACACGGAATCATATAATATACAGTTTTTTGTGACTGGCTTCTTTCACTTAGCATGTTTTCAAGGGTCATCCATGTTGTAGCATGTGTCAGCACTTTTCTTTGCTGAATACTCCTCCATTGTATAGCTACATTAAATTTTATCCATTTATCAGTTAAAGGGCAGTTGGGGTATTTCTACTTCTTAGCTATTATGAATTACGTGGACATTATGTTTTCAATTATCTTGAGTATATACTTAAGAGTAGAACTGCTGGATCAAATGATAACTCTGTTTGTTTCAGCAACTGCCAGACTGTTTTTCAAAGAGGCTATACCATTTTACATTCCCTCTAGCAGTGCACAAGGGTCCCAATTTCTCCACATCCTCAACTACCCTTGCTATTATTTGGGTTTTTAAAAAAATATAGATACCCCAGTGGGTGTAAAGCAGTATCTCACTGTGGTTTCAATTAGCATTTCCCTGATGACTAATGATGCTGAGCATCGTTTTATAGGCTTGTTGGCCATTTGAATATCTTCTTTAGAGAAATGTGTATTCAAGTTGCTATGGTTTGAACGTGTTCCCCACAGTTTATGTTTTGAAAACCTACTTCCCAATGCAACTGTGTTGAGAGGTGGGTCTTTTAAGAGGTGATTAGGCCATGAGGGCTCTGTTCATGAATGGATTAATGCTGCTATCTTGGAGGTAGGTTCCTGATAAAAGAATGAGTTTGCCTTCCACCATGTTATGAAGCAGCAAGAAGTCCCTGGCCAGATATGGGCCCCTCAATCTTGAACTTCCTAGCCTACAGAACTGTAAGAAATGCATCTTTTATCTCTTTTCTTTATAAATTACCAGTCTGTAGTATTCCCTTATAGCAGCACAAAAGCACAAAACAGACTAAGACAAAGCCCTTTGCCTACTTTTTTTTTTTTTTTTTTGAAACAGAGTCTCACTCTGTTGCCCAGGCTGGAGTGCAATGGCACAATCTCAGCTTACTGCAACCTCAACCTCTGCCTCCTGGGTTCAAACAATTCTCCTGCCTCAGCCTCCTCAGCAGCTGGGACTACAGGCGTGCAACACCATGCCCAGCTAATTTTTGTATTTTTAGTAGAGACAGGGTTTCACCATGTTGGCCAGGATGGTCTCAATCTCTTGACCTCGTGATCCGCCTGCCTCGGCCTCCCAAATTGCTGGGATTACAGGCATGCGCCACTGTGCCCCACCCCTTTGCCCCTTTTTAATAGGGTTGTCTTCATATTACTGAACTATAAGAGTTCTTTATATATTCTAGATACAAGTGCCTTATCTGATTATGATTTGAAAATATTTTCTCCCATTCTATGGGTTGTCTTTTTACTTTTTGATACTGTCTTTTGAAACACACAAGTTTACTTTTTTTTTTCTTTTTTTTTTAGTGACAGGGTCTCGCTATGTTGCCCAGGCTGGAGTGCAGTGGCTATTCACAGGCACGATCCCACTACCGATCAGCACGGGAGTTTTGACCTGCTCTGTTTTCAACCTGAGCCGGTTCACCCCTCCTTAGGCAGCCTGGTGGTCTCCTGCTACCGAGAGGTCACCGTATTGATGCTGAACTTAGTGCGGACACCCCATCGGCATAGTGCACTACAGCCCAGAACTCCTGGGCTCAAGCAATCCTCCCACCTCAGCCTCCCGAGTAGCTGGGACTACAGGCACGGGCCACCGGGCCCGGCACAAGTTTACTTTTGATGAAATCCAACTGATCTGGTTTTTCTGTTTCTTGTGCTTTTGATACGTAAGAAACCACTAGGTAATCTAAGTACATGAAGATTTACACCCATGTCTTCTAAGAGCTTTATAGTTTTAGCTCTTACATTTAGGTCTCTGACTCATTTTGGAGTTACTGTTTTAAATGGTGTGTGGTAGTGGGTTCAGCTTCATTCTTCTCCATGTGGCTGTTTAGCTGTCTCAGCACCATTCCCTCCACTGAACTGTCTTGTCACTGCTCTTGTTGAAAATCAGTGAGCTGTAAGCATGAGGGCTTGTGTCTGGGCTTTCCATTGTAATGCATTGATCTATGTCTGTCCTTATGCCAGTGCCACACATTCTTCACTACTTTTAAGTTTGACATTAGGAAGTGTCTTTTTTTGTTGTTGCTCTTGACTTTTTTAAAGACAGGGTCTCGCTCTGTTGCCCAGGCTGGAGTACAGTGGTGCAATCATAGCTCACTATGGACTAGACCTCACCCTCCCAAGGTGTGGGTTTTAAACTTTGTTGTTTATCAGGGCTGTTTGACTATTCTGGTTTTCTTGAGTTTCCAAAGGAATTTTAGGATCCTTGTGTCAATTTCTACAAGAAAACCACTTGGGATTTTGATAGGGATTGTGTTAAATTTGTACATCAGTTTGAGAAGTACTGCCACTTTAATACTGAGTATTCAGATCAATGAACATGGATGTCTTTCCATTTATTTAGGAACATTATACTTTAATGTACATTATACTTTTAAGTACATTGCACTTTTTATATGTTGCTGGATTTGGCTTGCTAGTGTTTTATTAAGGATTTTCTCATCTTTAATCATAAGAGGTATCAGTCAATAGCATTTTTTCTTGTAATGTCTTTGCAAAAGCCTATCTTTAGAGAGCTATGTTCTAACAATTTTTGTATTACCTTTTTTATAAATTTTTGTGCATTTAGCCACAGATCTAATCCATTTTGCAAACTTCTTGTTTCAAGGTACTCATCTGAGAGTGGTAGTATACTACATGGTACAGTTTCTTGGCTTTTGGATTTTATGAATTGCTAAAGTCATTAAAAAAAAATTGGGCCAGGTGAACTAGTGCATGTTTATAATTCCAGTAATTTGAGAGGCCAAAGTGGGAAGATCATTTGAGGCCAGGTATTCAGGACCAACCTGGACAACACTGCAAGACCTCATTTCTGGGGAAAAAAAAAAAAAAAAAAAAAGTCCTAGCTACTCACAGCTACTTGGAAGGCAGAGGCAGGAGGATGGCTTGAGCCCAGGAGTTTGAGGCTGCAGTGAGCTATGACTGCACCACTGCACTCCAGCCTGGGTGACAAAGCAAGGGCCTGTATCTAAAAAAAATATATTGGAACAATATTTGAGTTGCCAATTTTTAATCTTATCATGAAAGAACATTTAAATATAGCTGCTTACTACTACTATTAAATATTATACTAAAAAAGACATTGAAACCGAAAGAAAAAAAAAAGATGAACAATCTAAAGAACTTCCATTTAATCAACTTAGTATATGAAAATCTTGTCACATATTTGTCATTACTTTTCTAATGCTGCCATAAACTGGCACCAGTCTGAGGTTTGGTGTTGTAGAAGAGTGGCAGGAGCAAGAAGGGTCACCTGCCAACTCAATGGTCAAAGGTTTCCCAGAAGGCCTCTGAAAGACCAGAAAGGTGCTCCAGCTTTTACTTTCAGTCCTTCACCCCTAATTACTCCACAACAAAATCGAGAGTAAACAAAAATGTGATGTAGACTGAACCCTACACATCTGACACTTCACTGCAGCCTACGCGAGTCGTTCCCAGCCTACTCCTAACTTGGGAAGAGGATGGTAGTTGTGGTCATTGTGAGCATCAAGATGAGTGCAAGAGATGCAATAATCCATATGTGTATCAAGAACCATTTGCAGACTGACAAAATATAAAGTGCAATGACTTATGTGTGTTTCTTGGTAAAACTGGGCCCTTAGATTCAAAGAACTTGACCTGGCATACAAAGCCCTTGCTATTTATGACCACGCTTATCCTTTCAGCTTTCTTTCTAGCTACCTAAGCTATTCTATTTCCTGCAATTGCATGCTTAGGCACGGCTTGCTCCTCTTTCCCAACTGTTAAACTTTAAGCATTCTTTTTACCCTTCTTCATTAAACTGCCAATTTACCGAGTATACATTATGTTCCAGGTGTGGCATTTTGGTTTTTTTTTTTTTTTTTTTACACTTTACGGTTCTCTCTGCTTCTTCCACCCAGGTAAGGGAGCAACCTTGATTGCTCCCATACCTGTCTTCTCAGCTCGGTACAGACAGCTCCTCACAGCACTTACCACATTATATCCTCACCTGTATCATGTATTTGTCTAAGCTGCCTAGGAGCAGTCAGTCTTGCTCACTTTTTATCTTTAGCATTTGGCAAAGGGCCTGGCATACAGCAGGCTAGGAATAATTTTTTTTTTGGTAATTGAACTGTAATGACTTCTACAATCTGGATTATGAGACTGTCTAGAGGGAAATTTTGAGATGAACTCCTTTCTCCTCAGTTCTTCCCTTTTCACATAAATGAGCTCACTTAAATCTGGTACCTCTTTTTTAGTTTATTTCCAGTCCTGAGACTAAATCTGGCTTCCGTGAGAAAAGAACCAGGTTGTCTGCCCAACACAGAAGGGACCTAGCTTGAGAAACAGTGGGAGCGAATGAATGAAAACACTTCTCTAGGCGACCTCTTAAGAACCACCTCACCTGCCCTAGAATGCTACTGGACTGTCCCATGCATCAGGGGGCTTGAAAACACCTGAGTCTGCAACAGCTTGTGAAGAGTGACAGGGTTACTCTAGACCCAAATTCCTTGTTTCTAGTAAGAAAACAATCATTCATGTATTTAAAACATAACCTCTTCACCCCCACCCCCACATAAAACAACCGCATGACTACTTTGTAACACTAATTTGGATACCATATAATTTTTTTTGTTCTTTTTCTTTTCTTTTCTTTTTTTGAGACAAGAGTTTCACTCTGTCACCCAGGCTGGAGTGCTATGGTGTGATCTCCACTGACTGCAAACCTCCACCTCCCGGATTGAAGCAATTCTCCTGCCCCAGCCTCCCAAGTAGCTGGGATTACAGGCACCTGCCACCTTGCCCAGCTAATTTTTGTAATTTTAGTAGAGACAGGGTTTCACCATGTGTTAGTCAGGCTGGTCTCCCAACTCCTGACCTCAGGTGATCCGCCCACTTTAGCCTCCCAAAGTGCTGGGATTACAGGTGTGAGCCACCACGCCCTGCCTTTTTGTTCTTTTTCAAAAAGACTGGCACCAGAAACAGCAAGTTTATTTCCAAGAAATACTGCCTCTGAAAAGTAGCCAAAAGGTCTGGCCACTTTCCAGTGGGCACTCCAACCCCTGCTGAGGGGAGGAAATGCCCTCTTGCCTTCTGTCAAAGGGCAGTATCTGAGGACGCAGCCAACTCCTGGACTCCTCACTGATCATCAAGAAGCGAGTCAACTGAGCTGTGTTAACATGTAACATGGAATTCCCCTTTCTGCGGACCTTCAGCATATCAAGAGGATATAAAAAACCCAAGATTACAATACAGGCCCAAAGTTAGTCATGGACAGATGAGGAAACCAAATACAAACTTCCTACTCGTGACATCCTTAAGCAGCCCAATTGAGAACCTCAGGCACCAAGCAAGCAAATGGATGGGAAACTCTCATTAGCTGGTTAATGAGCATACACACTTCCTTTAACTGTGTCTCCGCTCTGCTTCTGTTGTTATGCATCCATACTCATTTTTTATGATGACTGAAGAATGAGGTCACTGACACTACACAGTACCACCTTACCGACTGATCAGCAAATCCATGAGAAAGAACACTCTCTTTTTGTCCCATACTCTTGTATTGAGAGGAAAACAAATTGGAAATTACCAGCTTTTCAGAAAAAGCACAACAAAAGGCAAAATACAGAAATAAAAACCAAACTCATCTCTGACTCCTAATTACTGAAGTACAGGGACACCGAGTTCACTACTCACTCCCCACTCTCTGTATATAAAGTTTCTTCACTTTGTGGCTCTACTAATGAGTATTTTCCCCAGCCAATGATATTCTTAAATTTTAGATGCTGTCAACATTTACCGGGCCTACGTGTTGAAGAAAATATGAAAAAGGTGTGGTTAATGATGGCTACTAATCAATATGTATAGACTGCTCAAAGTGATAATTCTGCCAAATTTATTGACTGCACTGATTTTTTTCTTTCATCAACAATTTGCTATGTAGTATGTTGATCCTGTTTACTTTCGTCATCTCCAGGGTAGTGATCCCTCTCACCTCCTTTAAATAGTCATGTGCCTCACAACTACCTTTCATCGCAGGACAGAAGGCACATACGACAATGGTCTATGAGACCAGAACACTTATTTTTACTGGACTTTTTCTGCATTAAATACGCAAATACCATTGTGTTCAGACTGCCTCTAGTATTCAGTACAGTAACATGCTGTTCAGGTTTGTAGCCTCGGAGCGCGGGGCTATCTGATAGTCTAGTGTGTAGCAGGCTGTAGCATCAAGGTTTGTGTAAGCACACCCTACGATGTTCACACAAGGAAGACATCACCTAATGACTCATCTCTCAGTAGGTGACTGTCCTGAAGGGATGCATGACTCTATTTAATTAAATGCCACCTTCCCAATGAAATCGATTCTGATCACCCTATTTAAATTCCCACACAACTGGAGACCCATTCCACATCCCAAGCCTTATCCTATTTTTCCTATACCATTTATCAAATTATGAATATATAAAAATTATATATGTATATATAAATTATATATACAAAAATTATTCACACATATATATCCACACACACATATTTACTGCCAGAATTAAGCTCCAGAGGGAAAGGATTTTGTGGACTGATATACCATACCCCACACACCTAGAAAAGCGCCAGGCACAGGGTAGACGCTAGGACTCCACGAACGAATTAAGGATTCCATTAGAATTTGAAGTCTAACTGTAGAGGAATCCCTTCATTTCCCGGAGTGCTCCTCAAACCTGCAGCCACCTGCACACCCCTTCCCCCTGAGCGGCCATCAGGCTGGGCGCTGCCAAACAGAACGCCTGGAAGGCGGCGCCCAGAAGCGGACCCTAGGAGTGGGCGGGCACCACCTCCCCGCCTCAGCAGGCACCTCCCTCCAACTTTAGCGCCAGGCAACGTGCGCCTGGGATTCTCCGGAATTCGTCTCTTCGCAAAGCCCGGCCACCGCGGCCGAGCAGCGCGGGCTCGGACTTTCACCCCACGCGCCGGGCAGAGGCCGGTGCCCTCGGCTGACCCGCCCTCTGGCTCGCCGAGCCTTTCCTCCCGGAGGCTGTAGGCGAGGTCCCCGCCCCGCCGCCCAGCCCCGCGAGACGAGCCCCCTTCTCCTCCGGCGCCCGGGCCTCACCTCTCCTGCAGGAAGCGAGGGCGAGCGCCGGGCCATGGCACCGGGGAAGGGCGCCGACGGTAGCGGCGACACCCGGGGCGAGGCCCGGCGGGCACCTCCACACGCCGCTGCGACCGGCTAGGGGTGCCGCGTGTCCGAGGCGTGAGCGCTCCCAGTCCCCGAGCGGCCGGCGCCGGGTGGCGGCAGCCAAGCGCCGGGAGGGCACGAGCAGGAGGAGGAGCAGTGGGGAGGCACGTGACACGCCGCCACTGGCCGCTGGGAGGCGAGGGCGCAGCGCCCACAGACCGCCGGGGAGCGCGGAGAGGCAGCGGCGTGCCGAGGTTCCGGGGCCGCCCGGTCTTCCTCCTCTGCGGCCCGCGGGCAGGAAGAACAGGAGCCGCCGGCGGCCGGACGGGCGCTCGGTCCTCTGACGCCCGGCGGAGCGGCAGTCCATCCCGGAGCCGGTCACTGGCCCGGGCGCGCGCTCATGCCGCTCCCTTGCGGCGTCGGGCGCGCGCCATCCCGGCCCAGGGCGTAGGCGAGCAGCGCGAGCCCGCCCTTTCCTGCCGGGCGCGCGGGCGTGGCTCGGGGCGCGCGCCGGGGGCGGGGCGGGGCGGGGCGGTGGGAGCCCGCGGTGGCGCTCCGGGACGCGGGACCGAGCCTAGGTGGCTTGTCTCGGGGCGCTACGGGGACCGTGCGAGCCCCCGCTCCGCTCGCTAGGCGACGGCGGGGACCGGGAGGAGCCTGCGGGAAGCTTTTACCCCGGAAAGGGAAGAAGCTTGTTGCTGCCACGATTTGCATATTCACTGCACTGCTGTCCTTAAAAAGGAATTAGTCACCCCGGCGCCCTTCAGAGTCCTTTGAAAGGTCCCTGAACAACAGGTTGCCAGGGATTTCACTGATTATCCTCGTCCTAAGTCCCTCAACATGTGGCTCTGGGATGCACTTTAAGGAATTATTAGCAGGACTCAGGGAAAGGCGCTCACATAATACATTCAAAACTGAACTTACATAGCTTTTGTTTCCAGATTAGAGCACCAAAAACATCAGAAGGTCTCAATCTGGGAACTTAAAACGTGGGGCCTGAATGTTAAAATGACACTTGCCGGTATATTTGAAACTAACAATGTTTAGATTGGTGGAGCTTTTTGAAAGCCTGTTCCACAATCTCAGATAACTAGTGCCTCATGGTGAACTTGGAAGATGTTGAAAGAATAAATGAAATGCATAAGGCACCAAGCTAGGAGATTTAAAAATAAAAACCCCAAAACAAATTGTTCTTAAGCTGTTTTCCTATACGGCCATATATATACACATATGTGATGAAAGAAGAATGTCTTATGAGCCATGAGAGATGTACAAAGTGCTGGGAAGATAGAGTGCGCATGGATGTGAAAGATAAGTGTCTATCAAAATTTGAAGAAGTAAATAATAGGAGTCAAGTCATAGGTTGGTGCAAAACTAATTGCGTTTTTTGCCATTCCTTGCAGTGGCAAAAGCCGCAACTACTTTTGCACCAACCTAGTAGACACTTCTGTAAAAGGTTAGGAGTATACATTTATAAAACTGGTAGAAAAAGCAATTTAGCAATAAGTATCAACGAAAAAATTTATAAACTTTTCTCAAGCCACCTAACTCCAAAAATGGGGATCATGGGAATAATCCAAAATATTAAAAATCTACTAGGTTGGAGCATACAAACATTTTTATGGGTCAAAATGTTTAATATTGGTAATTTCATATATGTACAAAAGATAGTCATTGTATCATAATTTGTGATTGGGAAAAACTAGTGTACAACTTTAGGGTAACAATTCGTTAAACTGTGGCACAAACTTTAATGTTAGTCCTTTGTAATTTTTTAAAATTGAGGTATAATTTGCATACAATAAAATCCACAGACCTGTGTGTTCAACTTGTTGACATTTATCAGTGTATGCACCACCCAATCAAGATCTTGAACATTTTTGTTTCTCCAGAAAGTTCTTTTGTGCCAGTTTTCAGTTTTCCAGACAATACACCACCACCCCAAGGCAACTCTTTTCTAATTTCAATGACCATAGATTAGTTTTGTCATTTCTTGAACTTCATATAAATGGAGACCTACAATAAGCATTGCCTTGTATCTTTCTTCTGCTTTGTGTCTGACTTTATTATTGATGGGATTCATCCATGTTGTTGTATCAGTAATTAGCTGCTTTTAATAGTTGAGTAGTATTCTACTGTATGACTGTACCACCAGTAGTCATCCATTCTCCTATTAATGGCCATTTGGTTTGCTTATAGTTTTTGGCCATTATGCATAGAGTGTAATGATCATTCTTGTATAAGACCTTGTGTGAGGTCAGAAGTTTGAGATCAACCTGGCCAATATGGTGAAGCCTAATCTCTACTAAAAATACAAAAATTAGCCAGGCACAGTGGCGGGCACCTGTAATCTCAGCTACTCAGGAGGCTGAGGCAGTAGAATTGATTGAACCCGGGAGGCAGAGGTTGCAGTGAGCGGAGATTGCGCCACTGCACTCCCGCCTAGGCAACAGTGAGACTTGGTTTCAAAAAAAAAAAAAAAATACTGTGTGGACATATATTTTTATCCCTCTTGGGGAAAGAATATGGGTCAAATTGCTGAATCATATGGTAGCTTAATTTATAGACACTGCCAAATTGTTTTTCCAAAGCGACTGCACTCTTTTACACTCTTAGCAATAGATGAGAGTTTCAGTTGTTCCACATCCTTGCCAAATTTTGGTATTTTCAGTCCTCATAGAATGGTACCTTATTGTGATTTCAACATACATTTCTTTGATGCCTAATGATGTTGACTAACTTTTCATGTATTACTATTACCAGCCATATAGAACACAATAGCATACATAAATCACTTAGCACAGTGCCTGGCCTATGATAGGAATGTCAGTTCTAATTACAGGTTGGATAACATTCATTTTTCCTTGGATGTGATACCTGTTGTTTTGTTTTCCAAAGCATTTCCTTTCTTTAGGGCTCAGCACCCTAGTTTTCCATGGGCAATCACTCTTCCCTACTCTCATTTTATGCGGTTTGGATGGACTGATCGCTCCACAGACCACAGGCATGGACATGTCACCCAATCAAAGTCAATGACCTTCAATTCCAGGATTTTTTTTTTTTTTAATAGTACTTCACTCTGTTGCTCAGGCTGGAGTGCGGTGGTGTGATCTTGGCTCACTGCAACCTCCACCACCTGGGTTCAAGCAATTCTCCTGTCTTAGCCTCCCAAGTAACTGGGATTACAGTCAAGCACCACCATGCCCATCTAATTTTTGTATTTTTAGTAGAGACGGGGGTTTCACCATGTTAGCCAGGCTAGTCTCAAACTCCTGACCTCAGGAATCTAATGGCCAATGAAAAAGAAGTATCAACCAATTAATGGATCAGGCAGAAGTCAGATAACCCCCATGGTTCAGGACTTTATGAAAAAGTTGAATGGGTGAATATACTTGGATCTGAGGCCAAAGTGCGGCCCTCTTACTCTCTCTCCATATCTAGACTTAGGAACCTCCCACAAGTAAAGCTAGATTTACAGGGCAGACTCTGACTTAGCCACCATCTGTGAGAACTTTAGGTGGCCTTATATACTCTAGATGTCATCAGGAGAAAAGAAATGGAAGATAGCCAGAATTATCCTTGGACCATATAATGGTAACCAAGGGGACCTAAAGAAAAGTCAAGATATAACTAACTTCTATTTAAACATTTCAATCTGTGGATTCCATTTCTCTTTTAGTAAATGTTTTCTTTAAATATACACTTACATATATTAAATATATAGTCTACATCATATATAAATACATGATATATATATTTTATATAAATATAAATATACATGTTTTAATAGAGTTGGGGGTCTTGCTATGTTGCCCTGGCTGGTCTTGAACTCCTGAGCTCAACCAGTGTATCCTCCTTGGCCTCCCAAAGTGCTGGGATTACTGGTGTGAGCCACTGTGCCTGGCTTTGTTTTCATATATTTTTGATAATTTTTCTGTTGCTTCATTGAGTTTTTACTTCAAGGACAATTATGTATATATTGGGTCACTTTTTTAAAATGATGTCTTTCATTTCTTCAATCTAGAACAATCTTTTAAGTTATTTTCTGAGAAGGGTGGGGAGAGAGCTTTTATGACAATGACATTTTTGAGGCGTCCAGACAAGTTATCTTGTGAAATGTCCCAAAATTCAAATGTGTACAATTATTTGCTTATGATTAGATTCAGATTACACATTTTTTGCAAGAATAGCTAGTGTGTAATGTTCAGTGTATCACATATGGATGGATATTGTCTTAGGCTTTCCCATGATTCATTGCACTAAATTTGAGCACTTAGCTAAGGTAAGTGTTCAGTAGATTTCTCCATTGTACCTGGGTTACTTTTATTTTCCATATCTATTCATTTTTCTGAAATGACTTTTTGGATTTTATTTCTTACACTCACTTTGTCTCAAGACTTTCCTTCTTGGAAATAATTTTTAGCTATATCAATTCTGTTCCTTACTGATAAGCAGTCCTACTCCTGATATTTGAAGGAGTAAGAGCAAGAAAATAAATGCAGGCCCATTCCCCATATATTTAAATATTTAGAAGTTATAAGCCAAACTAAGAAATTATTAAATTAGGCTGGGCGCAATGGCTCACACATGTAATCCCAGCACTTTGGGAGGCTGCAGCGGGCAGATCACCTGAGATCGGGAGTTCGAGACCAGCCTGACCAACATGGAGAAACCCTGTCTAAACTAAAAATACAAAATTAGCCAAGCATGGTGGTACATGCCTGTAGTCTCAGCTACTTGGGAGGATGAGGCAGGAGAATCACTTGAACCCTGGAGGCAGAGGTTGTGGTGTGCCAAGATCGCACCATTGCACTCCAGCCTGGGCAACAAGAGTGAAACTCTGTCTCAAAAAAAAAAAAAAAAGAAAGAAAGAAATTATTAAATTTAAAAAAAATGCTCTATCTTCTTTGACAAATATACTTTTATACTAACAAAATAGAAAATATGTGTAAAAGCCATGGTTTTTACATGACTGAAATTTGGCAAAATATTAAAGGTGACACATGTAATATGTAATTACAGTTGGGCACATTTGAGTGTTCTATTTATGGGCCTGAAACGTTTAGATGTGTACCAAAGTAAAGACTTTTATAGTTCATGTTTTTTTGTCTATGCCTCCCAAAGTGGTTGGGAGTACAGGCATGGGCCACCATGCCTAGCCATTTTTTGAATTTTTTTGTAGAGAAGGGTCTCATTATGTTGCCCAGGCTGGTATCTATTTCCTGGCCTCAAACAATCCTCCTGCCTCAGCCTCCCAACGCACTGGGATGACAGGTGTGAGCCACTGCACCCTGCCTGAAATTTTTCTGTTAAAAGATGAAATAGGCTGAGTGCTGGGGCTCATGCCTATAAACCCAGTACTTTGGGAGGGTGAAGCAGGCAGATCACCTAAGGAGTCAGGAGTTCGAGACCAGCATGCCCAACAT